CTGTGAAATTACCAAAATACCATTTCGCCTAAAAAGACGAAAACGCCCTTCTTATAAACTGGTTCTTAAATTATCTTCTATATGTGTGACTTGTAGGCTCCTTATCATACCAGTAGTATTTAGTATTGCGATTAACACCAATTAATCATCTCACTACACACAGACCAAGATTGGCCCCTAGTAAGACATCATGGCCACCCGATAGATTCGGATTCAGCGAAGCAACTACCTGTCAACGATATGGTTACTGTGCAATCTAATCCTTTCATCAAACTTTATCTCGACAAGACCGAGGCATAGAAATAGTGTCAACCTCGATTACTCCCGATATTATGTATTCAATTACTGGACCAATGACCTGAATTATAAACTGGATAAAACAATAACTCAATCCCACTGTGGCCATAGTTTTAGTGTCATTGCCATTTACTGAGTTGCACCGTGAGATAACTTCTCCCGTACTTGGGAGTGATGAATCCTCTGTTGATCCACCATAGTCTTGATACACTCCTTGATGTAGCCAATCACTACCGTATTGACAGCTCTGGATAGAACTGCGTTGGGCTAGTGTCAAACTGCACCAATCGGTGCACAAGGCACTCCGGTGATCTCAAGTCTAAGGATCACATGCACCACCATTCATTAGAGGATTTGTTCCATAGATATTGGGGTTACCATCCATATGGAATCCTCTGGTGGGTTAGTCAAATGAACTTGTCTACAGCAAGCACCCATGTGTTGCACCAGGTTGTCACCAAACAATCTTGACAAGTGAGATCAGTCACTGTCTTTCAACAGAGTCGTTCAACACTATGATAGCCTTACCGTATTGTCTGTGTCCTCACTTCAGAATAATACTGAGGCTACGGATGTTTCTAGAATGGCCACCATATGTGCTCATAGGGTTCTCACTATCAAGATTTGAAACACTTGATACCCTCGTCATGATTCTACCATTCTCAGGACATATATCAATACATGCAATGATGATTTACGCGATATAGAATAAAATGCATTTTATTGATCAATGAACATTATTACAAAGAGTCAATTCTACAATAAATATTAGCTCTAGGGCATCTACTCTAACAAGCGTAGCTGCCCTTGGGACGAGTGGGGTGAACTCGGGTGATAACGAGTCTGACAAGCAAGGGGGGAGTGGGGATCACTCCGATGGAGTTGGTTATTTTGGTGGTTCATCCTCTACCAGTAGTGGCTCTGAGGATGAGCCGAGTCGGCCAGGTGGTGGGATACTGAGTCGAGATTATCCGCCCTTATTGAAGGATAGTGATATGTGTCATATCCAAACAATGTATCATATTTCAAAATCCGTTGAGATTAGGGCGGCTCGGTTGTACGAGCGAGTCAACTAGGAAGCGAAGGGATGGGTGAGCGCCTATGAGAAGGGCTTCCATGATGGGCTCGTTCTACCCATCCCTTGCCTTATATGGGAGGTCTTAGACCATTTCAGGATTGCTTCGCCCTAACTCATGCCGAATGGGTGAAGGTTACTGATGGCCCTGGAGGACCTTTGTGTGCAGCATCAGGTGATGTTTGGGCTGCACGAGTTGCTCTATTTGTACTTCCTAAAGGAAAACGATAAGGACAAAGGTTGATACCTACTGAACCTTAGGCACGAGCTGGCTCACCTTGTGACCGACCTCCGATCGAGTGATAAGAACTAGAAGGATCGGTACTTTTTCATGTGGGGTGATGTAGTCTTCAGGGAGAAAGGCCAGGGCGACATTCCGTTCACTTGGCGAGCTACTAGTGAGAAACTTTGTCTTTCCTCGAATTTTGATTACTAAAATCTTATTGTGTTTCTTCTTTGCAGAGCTTGAATTCAATCGAGTCGGGCAGGGTGCGGACGACTTAGACGTGCAGACCCAGAAGATTTTAGCCATTCCGAAAGCGTAGAGGGATTGGCAAGTGGTGTTAGAGGAAGCTAACCTCAGGATGAGTCATCTCTAGGCCAGAATGGAAGCCATCGAGCGAGGTATCCCCTTCTCTTTATTGAAGCAAACTTGGAGTGTGCTGCTAACTCGCTACTGCAATCATATCTTGTATAGTAAGTCGAGGCTGAATGTAGAGTTTGCGATTGCAAAATAGCTAATGAAGAAGCTGACCGTCCTAAGGGCGAGTGAGTCTATTACTAGGCGTTGGGAGAAACGGAAGAGAGAGTCTTCGGCCAGAGAGGAGAGAAGAGCAAAGGATGTGGTGGCGACTCCACCAAGTCGTCAGCCTGCAGTAGGGGCTGAGTCATCCAAGATTGTAGTCTTGGATGAGGAGATTGAGAGGATCACCTTCAGTATCCTGGCTTCTGCGTCGACTTACTCGGACTCAGCTTCCATGAGTCAGTTGGCTGACTCATTCCTGTTCCCAGCTGATAAGACTTGTTTGAACCAGATGGGTGCAGTTGCGGCTGCTGACTGGGGGGTTTCCCATGCTTTCTAGGTATAAGCCAGAGTTTTACTTTACTATGCTTATTATTGACGTATACTGATCAAGTTTTTTTGTTATGCAGGCATTCACTAGCAGCCTGCACCTGAGGAAATCCATTGTATTACAAGAGAAGAGGATACATGATGTATCGAAATCTAATGCCAATCTATGACAGTGAGAAGCGACGGCCTAGAAAGCTGAGCGGGAAAGCCAGCAGTGTCTGAAGGAGGTCGAGAGAGAGTTGGAGCGGTTGAGGAGAGAGTTGGCTGAGAGGACCGCAGAGGTCGTGTCCCTAAGGGAGCAGTGCTTGAGCATTGCTAATGACGCCATCATTAGGGCCAGGGGAGAGCTCATACTTGAGTACAAGACCGGGAACACCTCTCACTGGAACCTGGATGAGGACATCCAACTCATGCGAGAGATGATAGAGGAGGAGGTCATTGGGCATACGGAGGAGCAGATTGATGAGCAGGTGCTTGATTTTGCTAGCCAGCTCATGTAGGGGCGAGTGCTGGGGCTGGTGATAGGGTGATTGAGTCGGAGGTGGGTGAGACGACTCGTACCGATGATACTTTGCTTGTTTTTTTATTTTTTTTGCTCATGTATTTTTTGGGCCTGCGATGTCCTTCCTTGGCGTGTGTGCCTTACTTTATACTTGGTACTTAGCCACTTCAGGCTTCTTTTATATTATACTTGTGTTTCTGTTTTGGTGCTTTCCTTGTGGGTGAATGAGTTGATTACTTGTTTGTTTATAGATGCACTAGGGGTTGAACCGCATGCTTGTGCTGTGATTTTGATGCGACTAAGTGGCTGAGTCGTGTGGACTCTCTAGTAGGTTGGGTCAATGACTCGTTGGTTGAAAGCACGAGTCTTCTATTCAGTCTGGGCCGATTGGAGATGTAACTTTATGAATCAGTCTAGGCCGATCGAAGGTGTAACCTTATGGATCGGTCTAAGCTGATCGAAGGTGTGAACTTATGAATCGGTCTAGGCCGATCAAAAGTATAAACTTATGAATCGGTCTAGGCCGATTGAAGGTATAAACTTATGAATCGGTCTGGGTCGATCGTAGGTGAAATACTTATGAATTGATCAGAGCCGATCGAAGGTGTTATACTTATGAATCGGTCTGGGCCGATCGAAGGTGTAATACTTATGAATCGGTCTGAGCCGATCAAATGTGTTATACTTATGAATTGGTCTGGGTCGATCAAAAGTGTAATACTTATGAATCGGTTTGAGCCAATCAAAGGTGTTATACTTATGAATCGGTCTGGGTCAATCGAAGGTGTAAACTTATGAATCGGTCTGAGCCGATCGAAGGTGTTATACTTATGAATCGGTCTGGGCCGATCGAAGGTGTAAACTTATGAATCGGTCTGGGCCGATCGAAGGTGTTAACAATTCTATTGTTATATAATACTTTATTGTACTCGGACCATGAGGCCGACTGATGGTGAAGGAGGTGGATAGGCCCACTTATCCTTTTAAAAACAGAAAAAAGAGAAACAAAAATGTTGATGGATGAGTTAAACTAAAAGTAATAACGTTTGAGGTGGACTGTATCCCAACTATTACTGACATTTTTGCCTTCAGAAGTTTGGAGCCAATCGGCGTCCTTCCCTACTTCCTTAGTGATCTTGTAGGGACCCTCCTAGGTGGGGCTGAGCTTTCCAGAGTTGACGTCCCTAGTGTTTTGGAAGACCTTACGGAGGACTCAATCACCAGTTTTAAAAGTTCTGATTCAGACGTTCCAGTTGTAGTGTCGGGCGGCCTGTTGTTGATAGACTGCATTACGAATTGCTGCCTGCTCGTGCAGTTCGTCGATGGTGTCCAGGTTATGGCAGAGGTTTTGACTGTTGGTTTCTCCGTCTACCCATTGAAGTCTAGTGGAAGGGACTGATACTTCGGCTGGAATGACTACTTCAGATCCATATGTGAGGGAGAAAGGGGTTTCACCTGTAGATGAGCGGGCTGTCGTCTAGTAGGACCAAAGGACTTCAGGTAGTTCATTTACCCATGTGCCCTTGGCTTTCTGTAGGAGTTTCTTTAAAGTCTGCATGATGATTTTATTTGATGATTCTGCCTGGCCGTTGGATTGGGGGTTACGGGGGGTAGAGAAGCTGAGCTTTATTCCCCATATGTCGTAGAAATCTCTGAAGCCTAAACTGATGAATTAAGATCCATTGTCGGTGATGATTTCCTTCGGTATCCCAAACTTGCAGATGACATACTTCAAGATGAAAGCTTTTACCTCTCTATCTCTGACTTGTGCGAGTGCTTCGGCTTCGATCCACTTAGTAATGTAATCAGTGACAGCCAACATGAAGATTCGCTACTCGGGCGTGGTCGGGAGCTTTTCGACTATATCCATTCCCCACTTCATGAACGGCTAAGGTGTGAGAGTGGAGTTAAGTCATTCGGGTGGGAGGTGTGAGACGTGGGCGAACCTCTGGCAACTATCACACTTCTTTACATAAGCTACTGAGCCAATAGTAGCCAATGGTGATCACTCGGTGGGCAAGTTGCGTCCTCCGGCATGGTTTCCATATTCGCCTTCATGGAGTTCGGGCCAGAACTCGTTTGGCTTCTTCTGGGCTTATGCTTTTGAGGTAGGGACAAGAGAATGACTTCCTAAGGAGCTGGATTTCGTATATAGTGAACCTGGTGGCTTTTGCTCTCAGGTGGCATGCTTCATTCTTGTCGGCTGGGAGCTCATTGTGTTCCAAGTATTTTACTATTAGAGTCATCCAGGTATTAGACAGTTCGATGTCCATCACTTCTTCGGGCGGCTCGTTCATTGGTCTTTCCTTCCAGTCGACCAACCATTGGAGGAATAACAGAGGGATGGATGATTGGGAGGAACATTGAAGGGCTGAGCCGAGGTTAGCAAGGGCGTCAGCATGGGTGTTCTCCGTTCTTGGGACTTGGGCAATCGAGAACTCTTTAAAGACGTTATGTAATTCTTTAACCAGGTTCAAGTAGGTTGTCATCTTCAAGCCGCGGGCTTGGTAAATGCCATATAGGTGGTTGACCACGAGTTGGGAGTCGGACTTTACCTCCAACTTCCTTAGTCTGATTTCTTTGGCTAAGGAGAGTCCAGCGATAAGAGCCTCGTATTCAGCTTCATTATTGATGCATTTGAATCCACATCGTATGGCTCGTTGGACGACGTCTCCTTTTGGAGTAGTAAGTACAATGCCGAGCCCATTCCCATTCATGTTGCTTGAGCCATCCACTGAGAGAGTCCACTTTGAAGGTGATCTGTTATTCATGCACATTAACTCTCTTTTTGCTTGGACGGTGGTGTTTGGAGTGAAATCAGCAATACAGTCTGCCAACGCCTGGGATTTGACGGTAGTGCGTGGTTGGAAAGATATGTCGAACTCGCTGAGCTCTACTGTCCATTGTGTGAGTCGGCTTGATAACTCTGGCTTGTGTAGTATCTTCTTGAGTGGGAAGGAGGTGAGTACGACTATGGAATGACATTGAAAGTATGGCCTGAGCTTCCTAGACGCATGGACGAGGGCGAGTGCAAGTTTCTTAAACTGACTGTATCGTGCCTCCGCGTCGAGGAGTGACTTGCTTACATAGTAGACCGGTAGCTGCTTCGCATTATCCCCCCGAACTAACACTGCCAAAATTGCTATCTCTGAAACTGCCAGATAAGTGTAAATCTTTTTTCCTATCCTTAGGCTTGGAGATGAGTGGAGGGGAGGTTAGGCATCTTTTCAGTTGTTGCAAGGCCTCTTCACAGGAGGAGGTTCATTCAAATTTCTTAGATTTCTTTAGCGTGTAGAGGAAATGGTGGCACTTGTCGGCAAATTTGGAGATGAAGCAGCTCAAGGTGGCCATTCGCCCTGCCAGGCGTTAGACGTCTTTGATGCAAGTTGATGATGGTATGTTGAGGATTGCTCGGATTTGATCGAGGCTGGCTTCTATCCCACGTTGAGTTACCATGTATCCTAGGAATTTCCCTGATGAAACCCTGAATGAGCACTTGGCCAGATTCAGCTTCATGTTATACTTCTTTAGGACGGTGAATGCCTGGCTGAGGTGGTCGAGGCGCTGCTCGGCCATGAGGGACTTAACGAGCATGTCGTCGATGTACACTTCCATGGTGTCCTTGAGGTGTTCAGCGAACATCTTGTTGACTAGCTGTTGATAGGTAGCCCCGACGTTCTTGAGGCCAAACGGCATCACCTTGAAGCAATAGGTCCCCTTTTCTGTAATGAAGACCATTTTCTCTTGGTCATCTGGGTGCATCAAAATTTGATTATACCTTGAGAAGGCATCCATGAAGCTTAGGAGTTCGTGGCCTGCTGTCGCATCGACCATCATGTTAATATGCGGGAGCGGGAATGAGTCTTTAGGGCATGCTTTGTTTAAATTCGTGAAGCCTATGCAGACTCTCCATTTTCCGTTCTTTTTCTTTACCACTACCACGTTCGCCAACTAGTCAGGATAGTGGACTTCTCTGATCAGGACATTATTCAGTAATTTGTTGACCTCCTTATGGACGATCCGGTTGCATTCTGGTGCAAATTTCCTACGCCTTTGCTTCACTAAGGGGTGATCCAGGTCTACTTTGAGGTGGTGGATGATTGCCTCTAGGCTAACTCTTGTCATGTCAGCGTGGGACTAGGCGAAGCAATCCTGGTTTTGTTTGAGGAATTTTATGAGTCTTTCTCTTATTTTGGGCTTGAGGCGTGAGCCTATCTGTGTCTTCCTTTCGGGGTCGTCCGGGCGTATCTGCACTTCATCCAACTCCTCCATAGATGGTTGATCTGGCTCGGTCGGAATGGTTGGATAAGACTATAGTTACTATGAAGCGTGACCTTTGCTTTTGAAGGCGTTTTTGTAGCAATCTCTAGACGCCTTGGGGTCGCCCTTGATTTCCCTAACTCCCTATTTCGTTGGAAACCTGATGGTTTGGTGGAAAGTGGATGAAACAGCTCGCATGTCGTGGATCCAAGGTCGACCCAAGATGACGTTGTATGGCGAAAGACAATCGAGCACTAGAAAGATGGTTTGCTTGTTGACTTCGTTGGTGTAGACAGGCAGAGCGATTTCTCCTATGGTGTACTTCTGCTCGGAACTGAACCCTACCAGTATAGTTGGTCGTCTGCTGATGCTTGTTTCATCTAGTCCCATGGTCTTCACTGTTGCAAGAAAGAGAATGTTTGCTGAGGATCCCCCGTCTATGAATACTCTTTTAACCAGGATGTTTGCGATCTAGAGGGAGATGACTAAAATGTCGTGATGAAAGGCGGCTAGGGTGACTAGCTCATCATCTTCGAATTGGATTACCTGGTTGGTGTGTAGCCGGGAGGGCGAATGGATGGATTGGACTTCTAAGTAATGGTTGGCTCGGGCATAACGCTTGGCTGAGGAGTAACTTACCTCACTGATCTCCAACCCACCAGAGATAATGGAGCAGAAACCTTTTGGTGTAGGTTCTCGTGGGGGGGAGATGCTTCCTTCGAGCTTTTCTGGCTAATTGTATTCTTCCCTTTATCAGTCAACAGATCTCAGAGATGTCCCCTCTTCAGTAGCGCGGCAACTTCCAACCGTAGGGCGATGCTGTCTGCTGTGTTATGACCATGGTCGTCGTGGAATTCGCACCACTTGGTCATGTCCCTCTTTGCTTCAGGATTGAGCTTGTTCAGTTACTTAACAGTAGGTCTCATTCCTTTCATAATTGCCATGACCTGGGCTGGTTCGACATTGAGGTTGTACTCCAGAATTTTGTATTGGCTCGACCCAAATGGTCTGTTGTCAGTTCCAATTGGCGGGCAGTCATATGGTCTCTTTACCTTGTTCAGGTTACGTGGAGGGGGTTGGTAATAGGGGTCAAACGATCTGGACTCTAACCTTCTATCATTCCGCCTTTAGGGACAGTCGTCGTACCTGGCATGCCTCATCTGGTTCATTTCATCTTCCTCCCACCTTATTTGAATTACAGCTCTGGTTAAGGCGTCTTCCATCATGGTGCAACCGAGCTTCATCAAGTCTTTGTATAGTTCTCCATCCGGAAGGAGACCCTTTCTGAAGGCGTCTACTGCTGTCTCTGGGTTACAAGAAGGGATGGAGTTTTTTTCTTTGTTGAACCTGCTAACGTATTCTCTCAGCGGTTCCCCCCTCTTTTGATAGACCTTGTACAGACCGGCTGATAGTTTCTTGAGCTTCTTGCTGCTGGCGAATTGTTCAATGAAGGTGTCGGTGAGCTAGGCGAAAGAGTTGATTGAACAGTTTGGGAGGTTGGTGTACCACTGAAGTGCTGGGCTAGAGAGGCTTGAACCAAAGTTTTTACACATGCAGGCTTCCCTTAGTGCTCGGGGTATCGATACGGTGAACATCCGCTGCTTGTAGGAGGCTATGTGGTCGTCTAGGTCGGTTGTTCCATTATAGGGCTTCATGCTGGGAATGGTGAACTTGTGTGGTATCTCAGCTAGCACGATTACGTCTACGAAGGGTGAATCAGCATAACAGTGAGGTTGGCTTTTTTTTGTTGGAATCGACATTCCGGGAATGCGCCTCATCACTGCCTCTATGTCGGCCAGTCTCTTGGCCAATATCTGTTCCATGGGAGATACGGATGCCACTAGGTCGTCCTGGTTAAATTGTTTAGCCACGCGATTCGCGCCTAATGCGTTTCGGTAGGTGAATCCGTGTGGTGTAGTCTGATGGATCACTCCATTATTGGTAGCTTTGATCCCCAGTCATTCCCTCCAGTTGGATGACTCCCATTGTGACCAATCATGTGTTTCGCCCCACATGGATTGTAATGGGTGTTATCTAGGATTTGTTTAGCCCATTGGGATGAATGGACTCGAGTAGAGTGGTTTGAAGGAGTGGGGGACCGCTCGACTTGCGCGGATGAGCCGAGCCAAGTGGTGTTTGGGTTGGGATGACTAACTGAAGGTGGGATGGGATGGCGAGGATGGGTAGTTCTTCTTGTGGTGGGCTTTTTGTCACTTGGACTCCTTGATCTCGTGCTTGAAGCAGATCGACCGAGAGTCGCTCTATCGGTGGCCTCTGTTCCGTATCAGTCAGGGCTGAATCATCAACTAAAGATGAACATAACTGGCGCGACCTCGTATCCGAGATTGTGGGTTTATGGTTTGGAGACTGGAGAGGTTGCATAGACAGAACCGAGGCACGAAATCGATTGGGTTGTACCTGACAAGGCAAAAGCTTAAGATCACAAAATTGTCTTACCTTCTCTTTTAGAGATTGGTTCTCGGCCCTGATGGAGGCATTTTCGGTCCGGATGACAATGTTCTCAACTTCCAGTGTAGCCACCTTGTTTGAGTGCTGTTGCATGAGGGCGGTCAGAGCCTCCAGTTTGGCCTCGAGGCCAGGATTAGTGTTATCAGAATTGTCAGCCATGAAGAGTTTCTTCACGTAGCAGGGTTCATGAGACGAATGATTGCCAGAGGCCCCACGGTGGGCGCCAAACTGTAGATGCAAAAATCTACCGTTACGAAAAGAGGGACTGATCTCGTAAGGTTTAGGCCACTAGTGATATGCTGCACCTGCACACGTGAGAAACAAGCATGAAGCAGACGAGAAACACCGGGGTGGTGTTTGCCGTAGGCACTCCGACGCTCAAGTTAGTAAGGCCGAGTGATGCTAGTTTAGTGAGGGTTAGGGAAAGGAAAAATTACCAAAAGTCTAGTCGGGGACTGTGACTACGGCTGTAATGCAAAGTTCTCGAGTGGGAACTCCAGGGTCTAAAAGTGTAATGTTTCCCTTTTTGTGAGAAGGCTGACCTTTGTTTAAATAGTGACTGTATGGTCTTTGAATCCTGATGGGACTGTGAGTCCTTATAGTGGTAATCCTCTCAAAAGGTGTAGCCTTTGGCTCCCTTATCTCAACAGGAAAGGGAGTTCATACGTGGCTTGGATACGGACCTTGGAGGAGTTGGGATAGTAATTGACTTCCTTAGCAGAGTTCAAGTAGGAGTGTAGTTCGTTGGCGACTGTGGGTTTCGAGTTGACTGTAAGCCTAGTAGTTGTTCTAGGATCAGGAGGCCTGGGTCCAGATGTATAAGAGCTGGAACAGCATACCAAATGGATCTCATCTACGAAACTCTGATTTGGGCCCCGTAGGAATTGGGCTTGAGGTTTCATCTTTGCCGGAGGTGTCTCCGTCTTTGGACCTATTTGGGCCGAGGACATTTTTTTGCCCTAACAAATCTATGTGTTAATATTTTAGGATATTGTTGGTTATGACTGAATTCTATTCACGTTGATTGATTGAGTGAAGTTAGAATTCTTCTTTAATTACCTTACAGTGAAAACATCACACGGGGAAACAGAAACTTATGGACTGAATATTTAATAAAATAAAAGCTGTTTTGGTCTTTGATTTGTTAGGTTTAGCTTTCACACTTAGAATGAAACCAGCGTGAAATCCTTGTCCCAATATTTAAAATGACCATAGAATTAAGTCAAGGACTGTCCTATGAAGACTTAAAATAACTTCATGATATTATTTTGTGTTTATTGAAAGTGACCATCAACAGGAACAGCTCTAGGAATTGATAGTTGATCAAGAAATTCGCTTAAGCTCCTCTTAATTAAAATCATAACTGAGTATTATTAATACTTCACAAAAAATTAATTATATAATAATTTACACATGTTTATATATGTGTCTTATATAAATTTTTGATATTATAAATAAATATAAGTTAAACTTTAATCTCCAAACTTTAATATATATGTTCAATACTCAAATTAATTATTCATTGTTCTCTAAGCATTTTTATATGTCGGACATTTTAAAAAATGACAATACGTGGACGCAATTTCTTAAAAATAATCCACCTTCAAATTTTATTTTATTTTTCAGAATCAATCGTTAGATCTATAAAAATTAAGAGACATAATAGTATTTAAACTAAGGTGTTAATTGTGACTGTTTACTATATCGACCCAATTAATCTTATAATCATAACTAACTCTAATCCAGCATTTCTATTGACAAGAGTGATATATAGTAAGAGTAATACTACACTTACAAAGAAATTTTACAAATATTTTCATACAAAGTGATGTGGCAAAAAATGAATGGAAGAGTGAATTTAATGAGTTTGACTTTTTGTTTCATTTTTTGCCACCTCACTTTGTATAAAAAATTTTGTAAGATTTCTTTGCAATTATAGTATTATTGATATAGTAAACTAGTGATAATCATCGTTAACGAGGGAGAGAAGAAGAACAAAATTCCCCTACCTAATAAGAATAAGAAGTGATGTTTCCATGTAAATTATTGAAGTTTATTAACTTTTGCCTTCTAGACGCGGAATGCGAACACCACCAATACAAAGT